TGTATGTATTGTATGTATATATATATATATATATATATATCCGTAGTTGGATACATGAGTTTCAATAATCATAAAGTTATACAAATAGATCATGTAGTATTTACTATAGAGAAGAAGGAATTTACCTTCGTTCGCCGAAATGATGTGCTTTTCTTCTGGTGTGTGCTCGGTAACGTATGCACAGAAATCCTTCAATAACGAATCTGGCACACCAACAAAGAAATCCGTCCCATTCTTGACTAGTGACTTATAGAAATTGTCGACATTTAGAAAGTCTCGGGTTAGCTCGGTGTATTCGCTCTCGTATTTATGGTTCACATCGGGGAAGCTGCGCTTCATCTTGAACGAGGAGTGAAGCATGCGTGTCAAAACTATAGGAGCAATTTTGTGTGCAAGTCCGAGAGATAAGGGTCTGATATTTTGTGAGGCGAATATGCGCAGCATAGTAGTGAAACGGATACGGCGCTATTTAGAAAGTGTTATTTAGAAAGACGACTACAGATAAGTTCTCCACGTTTCAATTTCGATATGAACGTTCTGTTTTTTATGGCCATTATTCAATCGTGCTTCACATATATGTACCCCTGAAATGCTTCGGTTCACAGCCCTTGTTCTAAAGTATGAGATAGTCCCATTCGCACTCCTGAAACAAAGTGTTCGCCCCGAACAACCCGTTTTACCCCTTCTCACACAATCTAAATCTGCCATGCGATTTTTTTTAGATTTTAGATAAATTTTTTAAATTTTTATTTGCTCTCTCTCTGATGAAATTTGTACCGATGGTAAGTCTTCCGATGTTTTGTTCGGGCTTTGGCACTTTGCGCAATTGGGTCTATTTTGGGCTTTTTGCGCCAACTCCACTCTACCAGAGAGTCCAGAGCCCCATTCCCCGCCCACGGGGTAAAAAACACATCCTACTTATCACATATTGCCACATTCTGGTATAACGTGATAATTTTAATGAGGAATTGAGGATGCATCGACTATTTTGCGACATCGATTATTTTTCATACATGTTTTATTTATATCGCTTCGCGTATCAGCTCATTAAATCCTGATGACCTAATAGTCTGAGTCAGATTAAGTTAAAAATATACTCCGTAGGAATGAGTCACGTTCAGCTGGTTGAATATAACGTTCCCATTGGATTCGATCTCTTCACCGTTGATTAGATTGTTTTGCTTTACATTTGCGATCTGCGGAAAGTACTAAAGTACACTTTTGTAACGTCAACCATGTTTACCTCCGATTTAAAACAATGTAGGTGTTTTAAGTACCGAACTGTTCGGTAATGTTCCTGGGCGTTAATAAGAGTGCGAGAACTTCTAAGTGTGGGCGATAACTTATAAGTATGAAATTAATAAGTTTGAAAAGTTCTAAGTTGTATTGTGCGGTTTGTTGGCGAACGGCCGCGCAGGCTCGAAAGTAGAGGAGGTTGGTGTATGATAATGAAAACGTAAAACTGATTACATAATACATATTAGGGGGGGGGGGCCTCAGAACAAGAGAGTGAACTTGAGCAAGGCCAAGAAGCAAATAGATATAAACATAAATACATCGATACAAGGAGGTATGTGCATAGCCCTCTAAATTTGTTCGATAGGCTCTGGTATGAGTAAAAAATAATACAGTTAAACAGTTTCTTTGAGCTTCTCGCATAACCGTAATATATATATCAAACTTTTAACCCAAGAAAGGTTCCGGTCCCATCATCGTAAGTGTATATATATATATATATATATACATATATATATATATATATATATATATATATATATATGTATGTAAGTATGTATATATATATACATATACATATACATATACATATCTATAAACATATACATATATATATATATGTGTATATATATATATATATATATATATATATATATATATATATATATTATATATATAT